TTTTTGTATGAAATAGATATATGAGATAGTGCATGAATAATATACAAGCAGATCTTGATACATATAAGATTCATATGTCTTCAACATATTCATCTGTGACACTCATTCTGACAACTCTTTAGTAATCTGTAATACACTCTGTTAATAATTATTTCATAGTTTATCTCAATATTTATGTTAAGTTTTTCATAAATTTTATGATCTGAAATCAGATGTGCAAAATGAAGTAATTATTTATTATAATTAAAAGAGAGTATTCTGTATTGAATTATAAATAATATAGACTGTGTAATTCACAGTAATTTCTTAAAGAGTTTGTGAATCTTTAATAGAAGTGAAAGAAGTGAAAGAAGTGAATTCAAAAGATATAACAAAGATTTAAAAAAGATAATAATTTATTTTTAATAAAGATAATAACTAATTACTGATATATATAAGAAGAATTATTATAAGAGAAAATAATCTTCTTTCTTAACTTAGTTATAATTTTAATACTAACTCAGATTGAATATTATCAATATATAAAAGTAAATAAATAATCTTGATTAATCTCTATTATATTTCTTGAAATATATCAATATTGTAAAAGAGACTATTATTAAATTATATTATCAGATGATATTATTAAAAATATATTAATATTATAAATATTAATATTGAAAAAATGTTGATACTTATATATTATAGTGATTTATGAATTATGATAGTTAAATATATATATATATATATTATTTCTGACATTGATTACAACTTGTACAATAATTTTTGAAAACTTAAAATTAATTTCAATTATTAATAATTATGAACTTATAACTAACTAATATAAAAAGAAAAAAACTTTTTCTACTTATTATCTTTCTTCTCTTTCTTATTCTTCTCATTATTCTCTATAATTTACTTCTTATTCTTATTCTTCTTCTACTTCTTCTTATCTGAGATAATAATCATCTTAAAATCTCTTTTTACTATTTTCTCAGAGAAGAATTCTCACTGCTCTCTCTCAGTTAGATTAATCTGTATTTTAAAATTCTGCATTTTCTAATCTGCTGTCTCAGATTCTATCTCAGTAATAAGCAGAATGACATGCTTAGAAAGTAGAGCTGTTTTCTCAATATTCTGAATTATGAAGTATATTTGAGATCTGAATAAAATCTTAATTCTCTTCTTCTCTGTCAGCTTCTGCTAATTAATTAGAGAATAGAAGTATTACTAAAAATTATTATCTTTTAATAAAGAAAAAACTTATCAGTTTTAACTTCTTTATCTTCTAGTTTAATATTCTCTTAATCTTCTTCTACTGTTATTTATTTACAGTAATACTCTTCTTCTCTCTCTCTCTCTTTATTTTAATCTTAAATTATTCTCAGAACTTCTTCTGATCTTAGTGCTACTATATAAGACTCTTGACTATCTTCTTTTTTAATCTCTTATAAATGATGTTATCTGCATTATTTCTATACTTAGTTCAGTTCAAATTTATCAGAAGTATTACTTAAAATTGTTATTATTCTACTCTCTTACAGAGTATCTTTAAGATACTATAATATATCTTACAATCTGTCTTCTCTTACTTAAATATCTTCTTCTTCTCTTTCTTCAATCTGTGATGATACTCACGCGCCTTGATAATCTGCAGAATCACAGAATATTTAAAGAGAAATGACATAATTAATTTCAGTAAGTGTTAAAGAGAGATAAAGATAGAAGAGATAATCAGAAATAATATAATAATAGTAATAATAATAATAATAATAATAATAATAATAATAATAATAATAATAGTGATGATGATAATGATAATAATAATAATAATAATAATTATTAGTATTATTATTCTTCAATTATAGATGTATGTAGTCAGAGACTATGATATCTATCAGAGAACTAAAAGTTCTCAGAGTTTTTCCTATATCTATAAAGTTAACTATTATACCTTCACCAATTTCAGATATACAAAATCAGAAAATTCTAGCTCAGAATGCAAAAACTGTTTATAAATTACAGGATTTTAACATCTTGTGATACTTTGAAATCATTTGGATAATATCATGGTAAAAGAAAAGAGGACACAGGCGTAAAGATAGACATATTAAATAGATAGATAGAAAAGAATAGAAAGGGAAAAAGTAAAGGTAAAGGAAAGAGAGACTATAATAAAATAAATTGTTAAAAGATAGGATATAGCTGTTTTAACAGACTATATCTGATTGATTTTTCTCTCTTCATATTCAGATATTTCTGAATTCAGGCATTTTTCTTATAACTGCTTAAGTTTCTGGATAGAAAAGTCTATTAGGATTTAATTTCTGGTCTCAGTGAGAATAAGAATCTTATATTTAATTAATTA